AGCCAGAGTGTGCCCAGGTGGCCAAGAAGGCCAATAGCATCCTGGCCTGGATCAGAACTGGTGAGGTTCTGTGCTCCTTTATCTGGAGGGTGCTGGTGCCCCTGGACTCGGCCACTCACGAGACTGCACCTTGAGTCCTGGGTCCAGCTTTGGGCACCACAGTACAAGAAGGACATGGAGGTGCCGAAGCGAGTTCAGCGAAGAGCAACAAGGCTGGTGAGAGGGCTTGAAAATAGGCCTTATGAAGACCAACTGAGGGAACTGGGGTTGTTTAGTCTGGAGGAGACTGAGAGGAGACCTTGTTGCTCTCTACAACTACCTAAAAGGAGGTTGTAGTGAGCCTGGGATTGGTCTCTTTTCCCAAATTATTAATGATAGGACAAGAGGAAATGGTCTGTAATTGTGCCAGGGGAGGTTTCAATTGGATATTGGGAACAATTTCTTTACTGAGACAGTACTTAGGCACTGAATGGGATACCCAGGGACTTGGGACCATCCCTGGAGGTGTTTAAAAAACTAGATGTAGCCCTTGAGGCTATGGTCTAGTGATTAGGGAGACGTTGGGATGAAGGTTGGACTTGATGATTCCAGAGGTCCTTTCCAACCAGAGTGATTCTGTGATTCCATGATGGTCTTTCATGATATGCAACCCTTTTTCAGAGGAGCTGCAGGCTGCCACTGCTTCCCCAGCAGCACTTGTCTTTATTTCGAATGACAATGCAAAGCTGTTGCAATGATCAAGGTATAGGTACAGAAACAACACAACTGGGCTGGCTGACCAGCTTGCCTGACATAAGGATGCTGTAGCCCATAGCATTTTGGGAAGTCCCAACGCTCTAAAAAGGTAGCTGGAGTAACTAAAGATGAAGTACTGCTGCCTGTCCCCATTGTATTGCCCCACACTGCACTGGGCCTGTAACTCAGGATAGGTCAGCCCACTCTCTAGGACAGGGAATAGAGGGCACATGGGAAGAGGAAGGAATCTGCACTTAACATAAAGGCAGCACAGACACAATCCAAGCAAGCCACATTTATCTCAGGCAATGTTGCTTTCACAGCTATTCCCCAAGTCCCAGCTCACCTGGCTGTGCTCAGAGTGACTGCAAGGACTACCTCCAGTTCCAGCTGGATAGCCCCACTGTAATTTTCCTGCCTGGAAAGTCAGGAGATTGTCATTCTGTCTCCAGTATGGACTGAGCAAAGGGGCAGGTGAGTTGGGGGAGGGAAGGGGTCTAGACTCCAACAGGGTTGACCCTTTAGCTATTGTGACTACATTAACCTGGAATAAAACAGAAATATGTGGACTGCTCTTGTTCCAGATGGTCTCTTACTTCAGGAATGGAGTAAGTCTTTTTAACTGCCTGAAGTGCTTTTCAATGTATTTTTCTAGCCCAAAATTACATCACACCAGGAATATTTCTCGAGCAGCAATATAACAAACTTCACTGCTCTGGAAATTCCCCATCCTGCAACCCAGTTTGGCATGTGAAAATGAGTTAAGAGAAGCATGTGGATACACTTCCTTACAGTATGAGACAATGAAATTACAACGTTCTCCACAGAAGAGGTACTGCTTCCCAAGGCAGCCTCAATATTCTCACTGCTTCAGTGGGAACCCCCTGAACAAAAGTCCCACCTCATGAGACAAGTAAGGGAAAACCACCCTGTCTGGGATTAGATGACTACAAAGGCAACAGCTGAACTGCGCCCTTTAGACTAAAGCAGGGCCTTGCACCACCCCACACCATGAGGTACCACTCAGTTTCTCCCCAGCACAAGCTCAGATGTAGTCAACACTTACCCAAGGCCTCAAGAGCAGTCCAGGGGCAACAGTCTCACTGTCACCCTTGTCCCTACAGGCTGGCAAAGCAGTGTTCTCCTTCATCTCTGCCACAGCATCAGGTTTATGCAACCCTGGAGGAGCGCAGCTCTCAGGCCTAGCCTCAGCTGGAGGTACTGACACTGCAGCTAGGTGCCAGCACAGAGCCACCACAAGAAAGGAGATGTTAAAGTCTCCAAGCCATTTGTATACAGCACCCTCTGCACCCACTCAAGATGGACTTTCTCCCACAACTCCATTCCCTGTGACACTGAGATAAAGCAAAGCAGAAGAGCTTATCTAGGTCTCTATGTGATCATGGGGATAAAGACATGGGGAAAAACAGGAAAAGGGACTTCCAGTAACATGGAGAAGAATTACAACACCTGAACACTTCTTTCCTGCTGCTACCCCTGTCTCTCAGGGAAGGAGACATCTCCCCAGCTGCTCTGCAAGCAGCTCACACACACCCTGTGAAAAAGGGAAGGTGGCAGATTCAGCAGTCACAATCCTTAAAAGGGGCTTGTGCCCCTCTCCAAAAGCAGGTGATGTGGAGATTGCAGAAGGCAGTAAGAGGGATTACTCCTAAACTGGGGACACACAAAGAGAAAGCAGAAAGGCTGCCCACCTCTCACTTCCCCTCTCTGTAAGAGGTTGGGGAAGCGTCAAGAAGGGGCAGGGCTACCCCCTTTCACCCAGGGAAAGGCACGTGAAGCCAGGGAGCTCAGAAAACCAGGGCCCAACTGAGCCCAACTGAGGAGTCCTCAAGCTACAATGTCCCTCAGAGCTCCACGCAGGTCAGGGAAGATGAAGCGGTAGCCGCTCTCCAGGGTGCGTTTTGGAACCACCTTCTGCCCCTCCAAGAGCATGCTGGCCCGCTCTGCCCCAAACACAGCCCGCACGGCCCACGCGGGCACTGGCACCAGGGCCGGGCGCCCCAGGGCCGTCGCAAGCTCCTGAGCAAAGGTGCCATTGGTGGTGGCAGGGGAGGATGGGGAGACACCATTAAGGACACCTTGTAGGCACTCGCTCTCCAGAGCATGACACACGATGCCAGCCAGGTCCCGAATGTGGATCCACGGGAAGGGCTGGAGGCCAGAGCCCAGGGGGCCGCCCAGTCCCAGACGGAAAGGCCAGAGCATGTGAGAGATTGCTCCACCACCTTGGCCCAGCACCACCCCTGTGGGGAGAACAGAGTGAGACCAGGGTCCTGCCCCACAAAGGGCAAAAACCCCCTTCACCCACAGACCTAAAACCAGGAGACAATCTTAGAGGGCTGGACTGGAACAGCATCACAACAAGGAGACGTACAAGACCTGATTTCCATCTCTCTCCTCTTTCCCCTTTCGCACCAAGTAGAGCCACCCTGACCACGCACGATGCCCCAGCTCACCAGATCTCACCACGACACCACGAGCTGGGCTTCCAGGGATGAGAGCTGCAGCTTCCCAGGAGCTCACCAGGCGTGAGAAGAAATCAAAATCACCTCCAGGACTGTCCTCTGTGTACTCATCTGTGGGGCTGGGGCGGTAATAACCTGCAGGTGTAACAGCAAAAAGGGAGTCAGGGTTAAATCACAACAGGAATATTCTCCCCTACTTCTCCCCCCAAAAAAGGACCCTCTTCCTGGAGGCAGGAGCCCAGAAGTCTATTGCTCCATCAGGGCCATCCTCATACGAACACCACAGGGTCTGTCTGCTTGCATTCCTCACACATTTTTGAACAACCAACGTGTCCTGCAAGTTCAGGAGGATGCACTAATACTGAGGTTGAGCTGGCAGCCCCAAGAACCAATACACCAGCAAGGAACACACTGAGCTGCCTGCATAGAAAGGCACTTGCTCTAAAATTAGGCATCACAGATGCTAAACTGTGGCAGCTTTAAAGACTGCAGCAAGCAGAAGTACAAAACTGGAGGCAGGCAGGGGGATTCAGATGAGGCCCTACTTAGACAAACCAGTTCTATAGGATGCCTAAAGGAATTCAGTTTTTCACAGGAAAGTGAGAAAAAGTCCTGTCCTGATAACACCAAGCATCTAAATGAGCACCCAAATTCCATTCCAACAGAACCAAAAAGCTGATTAAGGCTTGCCTAAAAAGAGATATTGATGGAAATAAAACTACCATTTCAAGGCAAGACATGTCTCCCAAGAAGTGTGTTTCTGCCTGGAGGTACAGCTCTCCAAGCCAGCAGGAGTCATGCCTTGGCTGGGCCCAAGCAATACCTACGCCAGTGACGAGAACCCAAGCACGTGGTGGCTGTTCAGCATCAGCAATGGCCTTGGCCAAGGTCTTGGTGGTCTCAACCCGGCTGCTGATGATTTCTTTGCAGAAGGCATCATTCCATCTGGGAAAGGCAGAGCCACCGATTATACTCCCCACACAGACATCCCAAGAAACAACATTTTCCCGGCCAATACACACTCATAAGCACAGGAGAGGTCACATGAATTCCACCCCAGAGCAGGGGGAGAACATGGGATCTTACTAACTAAATGCATGGGACTTTGGGAGATGGTGGCTCTCTACTTCCCACAAAAAGGCTTTTGGGTTTTGGACTGCCTTACAACAAAGGTAGCAGAGCGAGCTGGACACCAGAGCTGGGTGTGGTAAATTCTTCCCAGGCACCCAGCAAAGGTAATTCCAAAAACACCCTCATAGAAAGCCAAACTTTGATTCTAATTTTGCATTACCTAAAGGCAGTGTCATTTTGAAAACATAGAACTAGTTCACCTCACCTTCAACTGTCAATCCAGAAGGGAACCTGTCTTCCAAAGGTCTCCCAGAATTTAACAGGCCCACAAAAATGTTTTGGATACTTGAAGACTCAAATGTCAAATAACTCAAGTGCTTCCTGGACCCCCTGTGTCCTCCCCAGATCCCTTCCACATTCTCTGACAACCCTAGGCTGTCTCACCTTCACTTTGTCCCAGCAGCACTACAGGAGATCAATTTACCTGCAGAAAGGGTTAAGGACATTTTCACCAGCCAAGTTCACCACGCCATCACACAGGGGCAGTCCAGAGTGGGACAACTCTCCCTAGGCAAAGATAACACAAATATCACACACCCAGCCCCTCTTGGTTCAAGCCTTCCCAACAACCAAGCAGGGTGAGCTCCTAAGAAGTCCCTCCAGTTCCTTCATGACACTGTCTGGAGCACAAACATGGATGGAGAAGATTTTGCTCCTTGAAGCTACAGCAGCAACCGTCCCAACTACGACCCGTGGAGCACTCAGAAGGCCAAAGGTATATCCACAGGAGCCAGACTCCCCACTGCAGATTCCCTGCATGCCACAGCAGGCCAAAGCAAGCAAGCTCGTTCCTCAGCCCTGACCTTCTCCACCTGGTGACCGCCCTCATCTCATACCCAGCTGATCCGATCCGTGCCTCCTTGTCGAGAGACATGGGTCACTTCATGCCCGCGGCTCCGCAGCAGCTGGGTCAGGGCTCTGCCCACAAAGCCAGTCCCGCCACCTAGGAGAAGGACGGGCCGTTACAGACCGGCTACCCGCACCCGCACCCCAAGGCCCACTCCGGCGCCTCCGCCGCCAGGGCCGGCTCCCCGGGGCACACCCCTGCGGG